ATCAGTCTTTCGCACATGTTGAAATGTTGCATGATCTTTGGCGTCTACTGTAGGTAGAAAATGTCCGCTATTGAACCAACATGCAAACGAGTTAACGTGTAGCGGGAAACGGTTCTAGGCTAACTTAAGCAAAAGGTTATAAATGCAAATTGCAGAAATGCATTATGATAAAGAGTTAGTCTAGAAAGTTGTGTAACCATGAAAATATGGCAAAGTTGTAAATGCATACAAGTTTGGCAAAAGGCTACCACAGTACTGTGTTCGTTGGGGCTGTCATCAGGGAAGTGGACAACAACAAGGAGACTATAATGGCCATTTCTTGCCTGTATGTCGTCATTAGTCCTTTTTTGGTCATGAGCGTCGCATTTAAGGTGGTAAACACGAGTAGACTGAGCAGCCTTTTGTCCGGACTCAAACACTTTACCGTCAAGGTCACATGAGAATGACACCTGCTTGTCTTTCTTTATTGCAACATGGAACATTTCAGTTTCATATAGGCTCAGAACTACAGGTTTGGCCTTCTCCAGGCAGTCATGTAGTAATGCGTAACTGGGACAGATGATCGCCTGAGAATGGTAAATCGAAACATTTAGTTTCCGGTACTCGGGCAGACAGAGGCAGGAAAATTTGCTCTGCTCAATATTTACCGACTTGAAGTTAACATAATTCTTCACAGTGCGAATGCTGTAGGATATAGCGGTTTCTTTTCTATAAGTAGACCGGAACTGACCTGCTGGCAGTCAATTGTCATAGTCATAGTACTTGTTATATTATGTGGCTTACTTTTTTATCCAAATGCTTTAAAATATTCAGTTTAAAATCCTTAGTAAAACTTACACTAATCTCATCTCTATTACCATCCAGTTCATGTGTATTCTTACTATAAATGGCGCTTCAAATGCCACAGCTACGCCACTGCTGCTACTGGTAGTCCTATTATGTTGCTACTAATACACCCTACAGTAACAGTTTTGTTTTTATTTATTTAGGAAGAGGTATAGTCATATGGAGAGCGAATCGAAACAGTTATGGGCCATGCAACATTTTGGTCTAGTTCAGAACTTTATGAATGCTCCACCTCTACCACCAACCGCAATGGTCATCTGGCCCGTAATCTGCATAATCAAAATCCTGATGGCATGCTGCGGAAAAAGAGGATCCAATCCCTTCTGTAAGTTTGGTTAAAGGCTGAAGGAACTTCGCAGTGAAGTTCACACACTTCCGTTCACTGTCTGTACCAAATTTTTTACTTTAAGTTAACGAGTAATTACTGGGGAGATTGAAAAGCAACAAGTTCAAACCCAGTATGGTTTGAACTGCTCGCGGTTGTATCATGCAGCAGGAAATTAGCGGTGAAGCAAGTGTCTGGGTTTTTACTCAGTACCTGTGCAGTTAATTACTCAGTTCGGTTCCTAGCCAGGATAGAAGGATTTGTAAAGAAGAGTAAGACGCAATCGCTGCAACAATAATAGTTTTTCACCTGACGTTTTGGATTCCAGCCGGAACCCATGTTCAGTCACAGTATCAGACAGACGTTCTTCGTAAAAAGGGCGTTACAGTTTTTATATGATGCAGTGGCTGGGCTACTGCACACCCAGGACAGTAAACGGCTCCCCCTTTTTTCCATGATTACTGCCCCTGGTGCGCTAAATGCCCGATGACCGATGTGCGGGTCGTTATCTGCTGAAATTGCACCACCCCTGTTGCAGGTTACTGTGATGATAACTCGGCCACCTAGCTCATCAGCATTGGTGTTGGAAAGTGTTTTTACTTGCGCAAGCTGAACCGCAGCGCGAATTGTGGGTTGGGGAAGTCACTGCAGTCCTCGATAAGCTGTCGGTCCACAAACCGGCACTAAAGCAAATGGTGGCTTATCTCTCGCCGGAATTTCGGTCTCATCAAATTTGACTATGCGGCTGAGTTGTCCAATATTCCTGCCTGCAATATCTTGAGACGTCCGTGCGGATGCAGTATCGTCTGATCTACTTAGGACAACCCCCGTAGGGCCAAAAATAGAAAAAAGAGCTATCGCCGGGAAGATTTTAAAGTATAGGGTATATTGGTATGCAGGTGGTACTCAGGTGTTCTGTATCTGCCCGGAAATATTTGAATTGGCCGAAATCCAGCTGCAGATGACTGTTATATCGACAGCGGTCCCGGATTAAAATGTAGGATTATGGCAACTAGAAGCCGTTGAAACTCACCTCTCTGTCAAAATGAGGGCATGGTCATCTTTGGCGGCGGGATAGTCGGGTAGTTTGAACGGTTATTTGGTTTACGTTAGATTTTTAAGAGACAAAAGACAAGCGTGAACACTTGAATTAGTTTGCTGCTCATGTCGCAAATAAAGTTCGAAAAATTTTCATTTTTCATTTCATTTTTCAGTTTTTTTTTCGAAAAAGAAAGGAAACGTGATGATCAGAACACTTACGTTTTCTACTACTTTATACATAGTAATATGGTAGTTGTTTCAGAACAATGCATTCAAGAGCTATGAAGCGATAGGATCTTGTGCAATCCTAGTATGGTCGATGTCCTTCGTGAATACTTCGACCCATGTGTACATTGTCACATACATGTACGACCCTACCGAAGAAAACAATACCCACACACTTAGGCATGACACACTTCTGTGCAGTTTCAAGGGGTTTCCGCGATAAGTTGGTTGTGTTGCACATCAGAGGCCAGGCCTCATACGAAACGGAACGTCAGGACGAGTTTTCGACTTCGTTGTGTATAACTGCCATGGAAAAAAACTAATATCCGTTAGCCATCCCGCTGAATGCAAAGGGGTTAATCATCGAACCAGGTTAAATGCACGCTGCTGGTCATCTTCGCGTACAATATTGTTCTTCACAGTCAACGCTATTCATGCTTGCACAAGGTACTCTTCTTGTGGCTGTGCATAATCTTAGTACTGCTAGTCACCGTTTGTAAAGGCACGCGTGATTAGGAACTGTGCTGATATATCTGTACTGGTTACCTTTGAGCAGTGTAGGAATGACTATGCGGCAATTTTGATCATTTCGCTTGAGTTAGTTCCGTATAGGTCATTATGTTTGCGGTTAATAGGCATTGCCTTCTAAGACTTATTAAAATATTATGATATTTAACTGATACACAAATGCTACTTAAAAACAGTGAGTGAATTGTTTCATTTTAAAGCAAAATATATTCTTGAAAGTAGGGAATTACGTGCATGCTCTCTGAGACAAGCAGAGATCATCGTAATTGGGCAATATGCGCAAAACTTTAGTTTGCCACAACAGTAATTTATTGACCAGTTGAACGTATCTTTAAGGTGATAACGTACCTCGTTTATATTTGAATGCCGCTATCGTGTCTGCGATTATAACGTCACCGGGAAGTCAATTTGCCTATATCGAAGGGTTGCTTATGTGTAAAAAACTACCTGCTGGGTCTAAACTGGATGGACCTCTACGGTTCTTCCCTTTAACGTGCACTAGTAGCCTATTGGAGATGAGTTGCCTGCAGATGGGATTGGGCGCGGCTGTTGTAAGAATTCTTCCTAACGCCTATCTCACGAAATCTCGAATTGCTGGTCGGTGCGAGGCAGAAGGAAAGCTGTAGCGAGAAAGAGCCGCTGCGGTGCTTGGTAAAGGGGATCGTGTTATGCCCTTGTGTGGCAACTCTTGCTGCCTCACGGAAGGTTAGGATAAAGTATAAGCCATCAGCGGCCGCATTTTCACATCTCTGATGCGGGCACGCGTGACTTGTTCTACTGTGCGCGTTCACTGGTCGGTGTGTGGAAGGGCTGATGCAACAGGCCAAACGTCATTAATCCCAGCCGCGACTTGGTTATGTTATTAGCAGGTATCAGACTCAGACCGAATGAGTTATATAGATTTATATGCAAGCTCATACCTAATTAATAAATATGCAGATAGCTGGCGGCCAATGAGAGTTTTCTACGTCCCCATTATGGGTTCGACGTCATCAGTTCTCACGCTCAGATCTCCTCATCCTGACTACTGTGGGTGTGCAGAGTGTGAGATAGATGTAACACAAGTCTGCCTCGTGTTTACAACCGCAACTAGGTCCTTTATGGACAGTGGTAATGTGAGATCTACCAACCTATAGACATACTTGGGCTGTGAATATTAGCTTTCTTTCGTGAGATTACCATTTTCTAGCAAAATAGCACAGCTAAGGTTATAATAGGTATTTCGATTTCATTGATGCCCGAAAGCATGGTCGCTGAAGGTAGGTAAATTCAATAAGATATAAAAGCTAAAGACACGATAAGAGGCAGTATTTAACTGCTGACAGTCTGGCTGTTCTGACGAAAGTTATGTGGACATCTCTCGCATGCGGCACTATGGAAGAAAGCGACGGCGTGTCGCGGGTTATCGTAAAGGTGTTTGTTTACGATTCGAATTATCGGTATGTTAAAACCCCCTGCGGTCTCACAAGTTAATTCCTGATTTGCAAATATAATTTTCTAAACTGAATTCATCTATTTTTGCACGAAAACAATGCAGTTTCTCATAACTTTATTTACCGGATGTGCGCGTAAGCAAAACAAAATCGTCCGTTTTCTGAAGACGTTTATTTAAATATATTACGGCTAATATTAAGATTCGTACATTCATAAACAATTGGTTTTGATCAGTAGTTTTGATCCGTAGCTTTCCCTAACGTACAAAAGTTCCTAGAAATCAAGAAATGTTAGCTTTTGTCCAATTCTTGCCTGCGTTTACTTGAAAAGCAGATCTGAATTGAACACCTAAGAAACCACTTCCTGTACCTAAAATCAATTACATAAACAAAATTAGCAACAACAAGTACGTGCCTCATAAGAACCTCGAAATTTGCTCTCGAAATGTCATGAGTTAGTCAACTGACTGTATATTGTTTTACTTTAAGGTGAGAAAGACAAAGACAAACGCCATGAAAGGCAACTTATTAGCTGGCAGAAGTTCTGTTCGTTAGACTTCCTACGTCACAATAGGATAACCATCCGGATGGCCCTGGTATCTCCCAAATTTGGAACAAAATACTCGAAAGACAAGAGTTTCTTCGCGAAGATGCCCAAAGAAGACCTTGGACCAATGGCTGGTCACCTCGATGGTGAGGTGCACACAGACACGAAAACTCTTTTAGAGACATTGACGGTCCTACAGTACAGCGTTGATGAACTGTATGATGGCCTTGGTAGGGTCAACCCAGAGGTGAGTTACAAGTGCCCTTATTTGCGCAGTAATATTCTTGATAACTCCAGGATCACAACCAATACGATGTACTTCTGTGCAGGTTTTAGTTTCTAATGTTTTCGCATCAGCATATTCAAAGACTTGCGTTATTTTAAGAAAGTCTCAATGACTCTTCCTGGACTTTAGGAGTGTCGATGGGGCAAGTAAAAATGAGCTGAGACGAGAAGCAGATAATGAGAGTCGCAAGCACGGACATGGGACGCCGGGCATTTCCAGTCCTTTAGGTAATATCTAGTGTCATGTCTTGAGTGAAGATCAACTTTTGCAATATCCGTCCGCCTTTCTTTAATAAAAGTTCACCGATCGCTTCCGGAAATAACTACACCCGTTCTCCCTTGGAACTCACTCTCGAGCCCCGCTGGCAGCCGCACAGAGACAATTACTCGAGGCAGATGAAAAATGCCGACAAAGACAAGGATGTTCTTGCGACAGTAGTCGCCTGCTACTAAGCCCACCTCGGGCCAAGAACAAATTGGGTTTAATAAGCGGCGGGCGCAATAACCGGAGAGTCCTTGTTCTTTATTAGCAAACGT